CGCGTTACATAACACTGATATCATGTTTTTCTTGGTGATCTTTTATTCAGTTATATCTTTTGCTAAGTTTTAAGTAGTGGCAGTTAATTAAACGACATTCATTTAATATTACATACCTGATTCAGAGCATTACACACAGATCAACTTAACAATCTGCAAAACCTTGTAGCTGCAATGTTGTGTCTCCATAAGGGACAGTTGGCTCCAGGAGATAAGTGGGAGTCAGTGCCTGTCCTCGAGAAGGAGAGAATGTTCCTTTGCTGTGTCAAAAGTAGTCAACAGGTTCATATTGAAGTGAAGTTCATATTAATACAGGTTTTGTTTCTTGGCAATTCTGCGGACGCAGGCTCTGGGCGGAGCCAGGAGTTGAACAGATCTAACATGACAATTAAATTGATTTCATTCCCTGGCACAGGATGACAGGACTGGAGCAACGACACTGGATAGGAGAAGGTCTCATACTTTCTAAGATATGAGGTCACTAACCTTTTCTTTTAATTTTCTAGCTCCGTTGATTTGACACATGGGAATGTGTCAAAAAGGGGGGAAGTTGAGTTTTAACATCAAACAAGGGTTATATGAACATTTTTATGACTTCATTTGTGTTTTTAATAACTTAGGTGTGGTAAAGCTTGTGGGGATGAACAAAAGTATTTTACCAGCATAATATAATCTGCAGTATGATCATTGCTTTAACAATGTAACAGATAGCTTTAAGATGGCCTTAAGATGTTTATGCATACTGTTATCATATTAACCTTGTATTTCAGATGCAGTTATAATTATTTTATACACATTGCATATCTGTGCTTATTTTGAGTTGATGTTCGGTTCATTAAGGGTCTTAAGCTTTACTGGCGTGACTGTCCAGGTGATACATGCTGAGGGAAACTAGAACATAGAAGAAAAGTGCAATACATGCTTACAAAACACTTATATCAGGGTATTTCTATTATCTTTTATATGTTTATGTTCTTGGATTAAGTTTTAAGTAGTATTAGTTGGTTGAAAGCATTTATTCAGTTTATATTCTATCTTTAGTTTGAGTACATTGTGACACATTTGGCAGGGGCCTTTGTTTGTCTGTGAGCGTTAGTAGGTGAGAGGTTAGTCATGTCTGGTTGTAACTGCGAAATTGTCTCTGTAAAAGAGGAACCGTTCCTTGTTGTCTCTGAGAATAAGGAATGAGGTCTTGCAGGATGAGTGGCTGAACGAGAAGTCAAAAGGTTGACTGGAGGAATCGGCCATGAAAATAGAAGATGATGTTCTTTCGAACTGTGTTAAAAGTCATTGTGGTTTTGATCTGATCTATGTATAAAATGTATCTGTTACGTATGAAGGGGCATCATTAATCAAACCCTGATGCTATAAAATAATTGTTTGTGCTTTGATTAAGTCGAAGATCAATTGCTGTCTGTAGTGATCTTCCCACGCGTGTATTAAAATCATCGTTTGACTTCACCCGGCCGGATCAGTGTGGTTATTCTTCGATCACCTCTTGTACCCTTCCTCAATATTGAACCCTTAACAAGCTTAGGCTAATAATGACCCAAAAGGTTTCCAGACTTTTTAGAGAATCAGTGAGGAGCATAAATCATTATTTCCATGTTTAAGCATTAATTATTGAAATGAACTGAATAGCGTTTAGAAGATAAAATGCCTGTGTTCTTGAGAAGCTGAGTACCACACTGGAGAGGAAACTGTGGGACGGTAGGCGGAAGGAAGCACATGATTTTTGTGAAAATGGGGGGGTGGGGGGGCGGGGCAAATGTGAGAGTTAAAAATGGCTAATTTGTTTTTGATGTCTTTTGTTAGAATGAGTGGTTTTAATAATTTTCAGACACACCTTGCAAATGTGCTTATAATGAGTTGGCACTCGATCTTCTGAAGGTCATAAGCTTTGTTCGGACATTCTGAATATTCTAAACCAATTCTGAATCGCCAGAAGATCAGTAGATAACAACATTAGATTATCAAGGCTAGGCAGAGAGGTGTTTTGGTTTTCTGTCTCTTACAGAGAAAGGAACAGACACCAGACGAGGTCACAGATATACGGGGATCCTTCGCAGCAGAGACAGACACAGTGACTGCCGAGACACCAACTGGGTTCAAGTGTCATGGTGTTTGGGCTCCGATTAGTCACCTCAAAGGATGGATCCCATAAACACAGCAATAACCATGAAGGGGTTGGCGGAAATCCAGGGACACCAGACCAACGAGGTTCGAGAGGCTCCTGGTCAGAAGGGGGACACGTTCCTGTTCCTTTTTCTGGGGGATACACAGGACACACAGGACCCGAGGATACACAGATCGTTGTTTGACATCGGGGCAGAATAATCCCCTGATCTGTGCCACAACTGAAGGGTTGTCTAACCCCTGAGGTTGAAGAATGAAGAGCAGAGGATCACCCAACTGGACGACACTGGTAGCTGCAGCAATAAAATAAAGGCTAAAAGCTCCTCGGACAGAGGTTCTAGTCTGAGTACGTCTGAAGGGTATAAGGTAGCACCAAAATAAAGCTGTGGGAGAACTGGGGAGTGTCATCTGTACCTGCTATTGTTGGAATAATAGTTTTTCTTGCATCTGAACTGCGCAAACACAGAGGTCATCTCACATATGGTTCACCCAACAGGGGGACAAAGGGCCTCAGGAGTGAGAAGAGATGAACCCGGCCACACTGGATTACAGGGTGTAGGTGAGCTCTTTATTCTAAAGAGCTCATCAGGGGGAGTGTGAGATTATAATATTATTTTATGCCATGTTAGACCCCTAATTAAAGATTGTGAATTATTATGTAGTTTTAGTTTGCATTATTCTCCTGAATTAGAAGAAGGTGATAACTATTGCATTTGTTAAACTGATTTGCATTACATTAGACTGCTGATTTATTGTGAATGAATGATATTGTTTTATGATGCATTATACTGCTGAGTTATAAGAAATACTGTTCGCAGAAAGTCATCGCCTTATTTGTCTGATTAGAAGAGAACAGAACATACTGGAGTTTTCTGCCCCATCTCAGCAGGAGCAGATAAACGGGGAGCCAAGGTCGTAGCTTAGGCGCCGTGTGAGAGAAAGCATGTGAATGTTTAGGCTTTTATGATAAGGTGGGGGCACCAGAGGCTATAAGAGTTTGATCAATGCTCCACCATTTTGAGATCTGAGGCTGTCTGCATCAGTGTCCATCTCCCACGCGTGTGATCATTAAAATCATCAGTTTAAGAATAGTTTTCATATAAAAATAGTTTGCTGCTTTATAAGAAAGCCCTCCACAAAGCCAGAACATCTTACTATTCATCACTGATTGAAGAAAATAAGAACAACCCCAGGTTTCTCTTCAGCTCTGTAGCCAGGCTGACAAACAGTCAGAGCTCTGTTGAGCCAACCATCCCTTTAACGTTAACTAGTAATGACTTCATGAACTTCTTCACAAATAAAATTTTTATCATTAGAGAAAAAATTACCAGTAATCATCCCACAGATGTAATATTATCTACAGCTACTCTTAGTACCATTGATGTTAAGTTAGACTCTTTTTCTCCAATTGATCTTTCTGAGTTAACTTCAATAATTACTTCCTCCAAACCATCAACGTGTCTTTTAGACCCCATTCCTACAAAACTGCTCAAAGAAGTCCTGCCATTAATTAATTCTTCGATCTTAAATATGATCAACCTATCTCTAATGATCGGCTATGTACCACAGGCCTTCAAGCTGGCTGTAGTTAAACCTTTACTCAAAAAGCATCTCTAGACCCAGCAGTCTTAGCTAATTATAGGCCAATCTCCAACCTTCCTTTCATATCAAACATCCTTGAAAGAGTAGTTGTCAAACAGCTAACAGATCATCTGCAGAGGTTTATTTGAAGAGTTTCAGTCAGGTTTCAGAGCTCAGCACAGAAACAGCTTTAGTGAAGGTTACAAATGATCTTCTTATGGCCTCTGACAGTGGACTCATAGTCTTTTAACTACTTAACATCAATGGTACTAAGAGTAGCTGTAGATAATATTACATCTGTGGGATGATTATTGGTAATTTTTTCTCTAATGATTAAAAATTTATATGTCAAGAAGTTCATGAAGTCATTACTAGTTAACGTTAAAGGGATGGTTGGTTCAACAGTGCTATGACTTTTTGTCAGCCTGGCTACAGAGCTGAAGAGAAACCTGGGGTTGTTCTTATTTTCTTCAATCAGTGACGAATAGTAAGATTGCAAGTGTAAATGTTTTGGTAACGATCAATTTTAAGTAAACTTCCTATATTCAAAATGCTTGATGTTACCTAAATGATTACTTTAGGTAACCATTAAAGGAAATTTTAAAACTCAAGTGATGCGCAATCCATTTGGAATCTATCACAGTATTATTTGTTTTGTTATTAAAGTTTCTCTCACAGTACAGGGTAGTGCCCAATATTTTGACAGTTTCATGATACCAAAAAACAAAAGAGTTCATTTCACATTTTATTCAGATGTTAGCGGAAATCATTAATCACTGTGTGAAATTGCATCATAATGTTGAAAGAAATAACCAGTTAACAAACTTCCAGTACAATTCCAGCATTGACCATTATTGGCCTGTATTACAGCGTGTAACCTGACAGAATTTGCTTTAAGGCAAAACAGAAGTATTTTAAAAGGCACATGATTTCTTTTACATAAACATCAAATATTCACATTCATCAACATTCTTTTACAGGAGGTTCAATGTTTAGTTCAGTGATGTAAATGTCTATCATTAAATCATTTTGAGAAAATTTATTTAAATTTGCCAAATAGATTGGCAGCTTATTTTGTTAATTGTTTCACAAATTGCCATTATTTATCAATTCAATAATTTGCTCACTCACATAAAAAAAGGAACAAAACTAAAGCTCCAACCTTCAGAAAGAATTTAAACATTTATAAAATAGTCATGTATTTTATTTGCACTGTTTCAATTATTCAACCTTCAGAAGTCACTCACATGTCTCCAGCCTATTACAAAAACGTATTAAACAGCTTAATAAAAGAGATCTAACCCTAAAGAACTTTCAAGACAATGCAATTTTGTTAATTGAAGCCTATAAAGAACATTCTTAAACTACTCTGAGCTGCAGTGAAGTCAGAGATCCCCCCCCCCCACACACCCCCACACACACACACACACACTTTCTAAGCCATAACTTGTGTGACTCATTCTTATTAATCTTCAGTACAGTAATCAACACCAAATTATATCCTGAACATTTTTACTTTTACTTTATATTAATCTTAACTTCGATCAAAAACAATAAACACATAAAAATCAATCAATGAAACATCACTGTTCGCAATAACATGAATAGAAGGAGAAAAAATGTTTTCTTACAGTAGCACAACAACAAAAATTCAATCATACCAAATAACACATATCAACATCTAAGGAGCTTGGAAAGAAAAGCATCTGGACTTCTTTAAGTTTCTTGAACATGTTTTAACTTTCATCAAATCAATGAAAGGTCAGATGGCCCAGGATGTGAGTGGGCGTTAAGGCGTCTGGGAGGGATCTCAAAACTGGATTATAGATGGCAGAGAGTTGGTGTCGTAAACCCCGCCTCTGTTCAAAGATGGCCGCTCACAGTGGACATAGATGCTTCTTTCACTCCTCTTTCAAACCATCTGTCCTCTCTGTCCAAAATGTGAACATTGGCATCCTCGAAAGAGTGACCTTTGACCTTTAGATGGAGATGTACAGCTGAGTCTCGTCTTGTCACAATGGGTTCACCCGAAACCTCGGCTGATTGTGATCCACACCCGTTTTCACATCTTGGCTAGTGTGATTAGGCAGAGGATCAATAGTGGGTCCACGACCCTCTTAGGGCCACTCCCAGGACTCAAAAATCTGAGACTCTCCACCAGTTGCTCTTAGAACTGAAGAAGCTTCTTGGATGAGAGGTGAATGAAGAAACTTCAACAAGTCCAGATGCTTTTCTTTCGTAGCTCCTTAAATTGCCACGACCTGGATGACTGAGAACCTTCACAGACAATTCAGTTAACAAAACACTTGTGCTAGTTTTAATGGAACGACTTGAATAATTAGAAGGTACGGCTGTGGGTCAGCATAGATTACAAAAACCATAAGTACAAGGAAGTAATGCCATAACTGAGACTAAAAAAATACAGCCTGAAGATAAATAATTTTTTCAACCAAAAGGAATGATGAACTCTCAAAAACTGAGAAACCTGGGTCCAAGACATTCATTACTCTAAGAATATTTGTGAAGGGCAATATATTTAGTTATTTTTTTCTGAAAGTTTTTTTTTTGGCTACAGTAGTATGAGTGTTTCAACAAAAAATGTTCATAGCTAGTACTGAGATTTTTAGAATGTTAATTGGAACAGGGGTCTGGTCAAAGGTCATTTACTTTCTCATTAAAAGTAGTTAGTTCATGTTGGGTTTTTTCCCCAAAGAGTTTCTTCATTTGGTAGAAAGAAAAAAAAATCAACAGAATTGGTTGCTTTTCTGTGTTTTAACCATTTTGATACATTAAGTACCTACCTTTAAAACAGATTAGCGGTACCTTCTGACAAAAAGAACAATAACAACACAAAGGAACAGAAGACCAAAAATCACAGCAGCAGCAACCCACCATCCAGAATACCCTGAAACAGTTCAGAAAAAGTAAATGTAACCATTAAATGTGCAGAAAGCAGGATTAAAAAAAAAACAAAAAAAAAACAGTGAGCTATACATAATCTCACTGGTTGTTCTAAACCATAGGTGTCAAACTCTGGCCCGCGGGCCAAATTTGGCCCGCAGCCTAATTACATTTGGCCCGCGAAGCCATACCAAATTACTATCAGAGCCGGCTTACTGGTATTATACAGCTAATATATATATTGTTTAGTATTAAGCTTTGCTTGTTCCATATTCAGTTTTTCAGCAAAACGTGTTTGAGTCCATAAGAAAAGATTCATTCTTATATCTGGAGGAATAAATATATTTCAATAAATATTAAAGTTAGCCCGCGACTTTGTTCCAGTTTTGAATTTTGGCCCACTGTGTATTTGAGTTTGACACCCCTGTTCTAAACGCTAAAATATATAATATATAATGGGACTGCTCCATTATGACAGTTATTTTGGTTAATAACGAGATCAATTATTTAAAATGCTCCCCATGCACCCTTGTGTAACAATGAGCGGATAAAGGGCTGGTTCAGTTTTCTGTGACCGGGACTAAAATTTAATTGGTCCTCCTGAATCAGGAGTAGGTGTGGGTCTAAAAGAATCAATTTTCCAATTAAAATCAATGTTAATTTGAATAATGTGATATCAATTAACTAAATTCTAAATCGATTTTTAAATATAAATGTATTTTGCCATAATCTCACCTTTAAAATCACAAAACCATTTCAAAAACTGCCAAAGAATTATACACCAAATTATTGAAAAAGCAGGTAAACGGATCCCAAAGAAAGATGTAAAAACATCTCACAGATTCTGAAGCTGCAGGATTTGTCTCTCTCTCCAACCAATTCACTGAACTAGCAGCAAAAGAAGAAAAACTATGCTTCATATTTGATTTGATTCCCTCTGACTTTTGCTGTTTTGCTTCCACCACAATATAATCACACGTCCTGCACATCTCTCTCAGTGTACTTCAAGACCAGTTTACCATCTCAAATCTGTTTTGTGCATTATTAATTCACCAGTTTACCTTTGTGTACAGCGCTGACGGCTGCTGTTTTTTTTCTTTTTTCGACCTCCAACAAGAGACTCGTTTTTTTTTTACTGTTCAATACCAAATAAATTTAAACTTTTACAAGTAATGCCAAATTGCAAAACGCTGTGCCCCTAATAAAACTTCTGTAACTTTACTCTGCTTCACTTCAGCAGCGTTTTTCTGTGTTTTATCCTCAGCTACTTTGACACAAAGGCATCTGCTGTGATGCTCACACCTCGGATAAAGTCTAACGAGTGTCAGCTTTCTTTTTATACATAGATATAAAAATATGGATATGCACTGATAAATTATCAAAATTATAATATTTCTGACTGTCTGAGGCAAAACTGAATTGAATTGAATCAGACATCGAATTGATCGATCTTGTGAATCGGTTATAGAAATCAGTGATGATACCAAGCCCTAATCAGAAGTTAGATTAATGGAAGAACTCTCCTCTCCAGTACCCTTGCATAGACCTTTCTGGTGAGGCAAAAGTGAGACTCAAGTGTGGCCATATAACTAGAGGATAGCCTCCAGTCCTCCTCCAGTCTGCCCATCTGGAAGGCACTGCCCCAGACTTCCACGTAATGTTGCAAAGTTGGACAATGAGGATAGACCCACAACATTCAGAGGCTTTAACAAGGACTTTCATCCATCCCACCAAGCAGTTGTTTAATTACATTAGTGACCTCATTGATGGGCAAGTCGTCCTCATTCCCCGACTGTGCTTGCTCTACAGAATGCGTGACAGTGTGTTTGACAAAATCATGGTAAATGACCTGTATTTATATAGCACTTTACTAGTCCCTAAGGACCCCAAAGCGCTTTACATATCCAGTCATCCACCCATTCACACACTGGTGATGGCAAGCTACATTGTAGCCACAGCCACCCTGGGGCGCACTGACAGAGGCGAGGCTGCCGGACACTGGCGCCACCGGGCCCTCTGACCACCACCAGTAGGCAACGGGTGTCTTGCCCAAGGACACAACGACCGTCCACTGCCTAACTATAATCTCAGTTGAGGTCAGCAGGGCCCCACTACCACTGTATACAGTTTGAGTACAGCACCACTTCCCCCTCCTGAGTTGTCTGACAGTTTGCCAGAATTACTTTGAGGATGACCAAAAATCACGTTTCATAGTTTCAAACCACATATATAGTGATTTTACACATTTCTGAACATTATAAACTTTTATAAACTAAAATCAACTTCTTTTTTATTATTTATTTTATTTTATTTTTATTTTCAGTTGTTGCAGACAGGACAGACATAGCTGGGGGACAGGAAAGGGAGAAAAAAGAAAAACAGAGGGGAAGAGGGACAGTGAGAAAGGGCACTTAAAAAGAAAAAAATCTCCTGGATCACCTGTTGAGAGAAAAAAGAGAAAACAAGCAAAAAAAAAGAAGCATAATAAACATAACACACAAAAAAAAAAAAAAAAAAAAAAGTTCATTTCCTCAAATGGTCTGATACTCTTTCATTATACCTGTTCAAACACATTTGCATCTATTCTTACGGGCTTGGAGACCACTTATTCTTAAACCCTCTTACAAAAGGGTTGGATGAATGCTGCTGTTTGTTAGGCCAATTCAAAGGTCAGAGTCGGGTAATACCGCCTCATTGCTGGCTTTGAATAAAAAACAAAACAAAAAAACAAACCAAAAAAAACCACAACACCATCGCATTAATCCAGCTAAGTGTAAATAACAGTAAATACTAAATACTGAATGTTGTTGTGCAGCATGCAGGACTGACAATGCGCTTTGAGGTAGCAGCCAGGAAAGGTGTAGTTTGTGTCTATGAACAATGAACACTAGTGTGGGCACCTGTGTGGATCAGTGAGCCTGTATTCAAAAGGTCTCTCCATGTAACAATCTGCTAGAGGGTGTAGGGAGCCATAGCCCTGTCCCCCAGGGGATAAAGCAGGCATGGAGGAGATCCAGGCCCCAGACATCCAGAGGCCTCGGAGTGCGAGAGCCCAAGGAGGACCACCGGAGGGGCATCCTTGCCACCCTCATGGGAAGAGCGGAGGAGATCCCCAGACAAGGGGTCACCCAGCAGCCACGGAGCAGAAGCCAAGGGGGCTTCAGTGGCATGCCCGCGGGCTATGCCAGCAGCCAGCTGTGCCAGAGTGAACCAAGCTGCAGGCCTGGAGGCCGGAGGCCTGAGGGCCCCCCACCCCCCGAGAGGAGGCCCGACCGAGCCACAGGTGCCCAGCCCCACCAAGTAGCCACTGGGAGTGAGCCGGTACATACCTGAGTGCCTAACCCTGGACACCAAGAACCACCAACACACCCAGCCACCGGCAGGGAGTGTGGTGAGGGGAGATAGACCTCCATACTTTGGAGGGCCTGAAATGTTCCCAGATAGGTGTAGTCAGCAGTTTATCGGCAGCTGAGAGGAAGAGGTTGGATAAACTCATCAGGAAGGCCAGCTCTGTTCTGGGATGCACCCTGGACCCAGTGCATGTGGTGGGAGACAGAAGGACTGTGGCCAAAATAACATCTCTGATGGACAGAGCCTCCCACCCCATGCATGTAGATGTTGCTGCAGAGCTGCTTCAGTGACAGACTGCTGCATCCTCGATGCATGAAGGAGCGTTTCTGCAGGTCCTTCCTCCCTGCAGCTGTCAGACTGTACAATCAGAACTGCTCCCAACAAACATAGATGTTTACATCAGTGCTGTAACTACAATAAGTTAATCAACCGATTCGCACTACAACCTGGTTTGCCTCTTACCGGTAGTTATTTTTATTTAATTTAATAACTGTACAGTACTCTCTGTATATAGTAACCATTGTCCTTAATGTAAATATGTAAGAAAAATTGTATTATGTGTCCTGTGTACTGTTTGTTTGTATATGTGTCTTTTTGGCTGCTGTTACAACCAAATTTCCCCTTGTGGGACAATTAAAGGATTATTCTATTCTATTCTAGTCTAAGACCCCACCTGACATATAGACACAGACAAACAGGCACACAGACACAAACGTGCATTCCCACCCTCATGCACACATACACAAATACTCAAATGCCTCCCCTGCACCATGGTGACACACCTTCACCCCAAGCCATGTGTGGGTGCGTGTGGTGGAGCAGGAAGAGGGAGGTGGTCAGGGATAGGGAGGAAAGGAACGGAGGGGCAAGCAGTCCCTCCTTCGGGTAACCCCCCCTGCTGACCCCAGTAGGCAAACCTTGCCCTCTGGAACCCACCAAGGCAAGGGGGCCCAGGTCCATCCAGACTGGGGCCCACGGCAGCAGCACCGCCAAGCCCCACAGGACCCGGAGCAGCCCACATGACTCCACCGCAGAGGAAACTGTACCCACCCCATAATTCAATCATCTCCCAGACAACACAATAGACACCCAGGTTAAGTTTATTATCCAACTCTCCTATATCTCACCCCCACCTGGAGAGTGAACTTCTGCAAGGATGAAACAACCTCCCTGCCAGTTGAAGAGCCCCCCAGTTTGGCCAATGCACCAGAGGCCCCCTGCTCAGGGCTAAGCCGCCCAGCACCCACCTGCGCTCAACCTTGGCGACACACCAATGAGGACCGAAACCCCCAAGGCCCAGCCAAAGTCCCAGCACGGAGGTGGAGCACCCCAGAACCTCAAGCCCCCACGTCCACCCCGGATCCAGCCAGGCTACCAGGCCAGTAACCTATGTCCAACAAGCACACTAAAGGGGTGGTTGGAATGTTACATTTCAGCAGTGCTGGGAAGGTTACTTTTAAATGTATTCCACTACAGATTACAGATTACATGCCCCCAAAATGTATTTTGTAACGTATTCCATTACGTTACTCAATGAGTGTAACGTATTCTGAATACTTTGGATTACTTAATATATTATCATGCTTATTACAACTACATGAATGTACTACTGCTGTGATTTATTACTATTAGTGATGGTTACTCACCATACAAATACCAACTACAATTTTTAAATCTTAATATAAATGAGTAACAGTAGGTGCACATTAGGTAAGGCTGCACTTTTTGCAGCGATCTCGTATAGAAAACTATTCAGCGCGTATATAAAACAGGTCCGCAGCTCCGAACCGTAGTAAAGGGACCTCTGGCTGATACGTCGGGTTCGTGTCGGCTCGTAGCTGAAAAATAGCTTTACTTTGTTGTCTGGGTCAACTTTGCCGCAAGTAGAGCTGACATGGGCCGCGAGACTGAGACACAGGCATTAGAGCCTCACGTGTTTTGTTTATAGAGAGGGCATAGCCTAACATATGAAACAGGAAAAGACTGCTGTGTAATCCATTTATTTCAACAAAGTAACGTATTCTGAATACCACCTTTTTAAACGGTAACTGTAACAGAATACAGTTACTCATATTTTGCATTTTAAATACATAACAGCAGTACATGTATTCCGTTTCTCCCCAACACTGCATTTCAGACACTTTGATAAGTCTTCACATATCTCACTCCAAAACTTCTGCACTGGTGGACAGAACCAAAGAGCATGGATGTAATTGTCTGGTGTCTTGCCTTGACAGTGTGAGCAATTGTTGGAAGACGTAAATAATAATAATAATAATGCATTTTATTTGAGGGCGCCTTTCAGAAACCCAAGGTCACCTTACAAAGAACAAAATTAATAAAAGGAACAAAAGTCATAAAATACATAAAATAAGTTAAAATTGCAAAACAGAGATTGACAACAGATAAAATCAGCATGCAAGCCCATCTGAAACCTGTATAGTGCACTCTATGTAGTATTTTGTATTGTATTAATTGAAATGATTGGAAATCCCAGTCTGCAAAGGTTTTGAAGACCAGATGTTTTGGTCTAAGCTGAATGATAAATCTGCTTCCCATTTAGCAATAGGAAGGGATTTTGATTCATCTATTTTAGAAAGTGTTCTGTATATTTTACATAATAATTAGGGGGATTTAAGAGTAAGAAATTGTACCACACTTAGTGGTGTTTGTAATTCAACTTTATCGGGTTTAAATTTCTTTTTTACTATGCATTTAATTTGTTGATATTCTAAAAATCTTTTCTTGTTGATCCCATATTGTGAAACTAGTGTGTCAAACAGAATTTCTGAACATTATAAGCTTTTATAAACTAAAATTAACTTCTAAAGCAGAGCTGCTACAGTGAATTAGAGTAGGTGAGTAAAGGTGTACCTAATGAAAGAAACATTAACTGGAGTACTTACTTATTTTTATAATTACTTTTAGCAACTTAAAAACTTCATTTTGTGCAAACCAAACTTCTTTTTTAATAAGAAAATTTAAATCTACACTTTCTGATTTTTCATTTATCTATAAAAGGGCATTTCAGTGACTTTACACATGAAGTATGCAGGTCCTCATCAGAAGCAGTTTTGTAAGGTCTAAATACAGTCAGAGTGAAGTCAGTCAATGTGAGAAGCTGCGACAGAAAGTCAAATTTGAAGCCTTTTAAGTTTAGTCTTCCTGTTATCATTTCTTGTTTCCTTTATTGTTCATGCTCCCTTTCCACTCCTGTCAGTTTCGCTTCTTCCCTCCTTTATAATTGTCTAACCTCACCCTCATTAATACGAAATGTGCTGAATTATTTTTTACTAAATATACTTATCCTTCAGTGGTGAGATCGTCTTTGAACTGTAGACATTCCTTCATGACTTATCTGACTCACTCCTGGACTTAGTACTTTCTGCCTGTACCTCATCTGTTTTGTTCACCTTGGTGAATACCTACCTCAAGATTATAAATAAACATTAAAATTTTTGACTTTACCTTGGGATGCTCCCTCCGGCTCTTCTGTGAAAACAATACAAAAACAGTTTTATTACTCAAATATAACAGAGATAGATCCATAAATCTCAAAAGATGGCATGAATTAGAGGAAATTGAAGGTGAAACTAAATATGAAAATGGTGACCATTCATGGGCAAACATACAAGGAAATTATCTTGAGGGCTCATAAAAAATTAAACAACATAATTAAACCTGCCACATCTTGTTGGCGAGTGAGTCGGGACTTTAATCAGGACCCAATGTGGGCCCACAATGGGTCCTGATTTGTGCCTGTTTCTGTTTGGTGCGGGCTACTGACACTATGAGAGGAATTGACTATGACATATCATTCATTAAGCAAATATATATAAGGTTGTTTTCTTTCCTGTGCGGAATATCTGTGAAAATTAGTAATATATTTTTCTCTGAGTGAAGCTGAAAAAGTTGTTCATGCATTTATTACTTCAAGGCTGAACTACTGTAATTCATTATTCTGAGGTCATTCTAAAATTTCCCTAAACGGCCTTTGGTTAGTTTGTGCTATTTACTTGATTGTTGGGTTTTGTTGGGCAACTTGAAGTGACTGTTGTTGTGATTTGGTGATATATAAATAAACATGAATTAAATGGAATTGTGGCACAGCAGCAACAGAAAGAGAATCTTGCTGACGATCAAGCCGGCAATGAAGGAAATGGCTACATAAAAACAACGCAGTGGTCCCAGAAGTCTGACGCAAACCCACAAACTAAGCAGCAGGTAAATTCTTGCATTGATATCCACCTTTTTTGTAGCATTTATGTCTAATATTAATTACGTCGCGGGACACTCGGACACGTTGCTTTAACGACAACCACGCAGGCTACGTAGTACTGCATTGTAATGGAAAACGAGTTGATCTGAGTTGAGTCGTGGCAATCCGATCTGAATAAGTACCAATAAAGCAGACAGACCCAACATCCCCAGCAAGCTGAGGGGGAAAAGACGGGGGTGATGGAGTACATCTTCAACCTGAGCCTGAGGCTAGGGAGAGTTCCACAGCTCTGGAAAATCTCTTGTGTGGTACCAGTGCCAAAGACTCCATGTCCCAAGGACCTCAACAACTATAGGCAGTTGGCTCTGACATCACACCTAATGAAGACCCTGGAGTGGCTGGTCCTAGCTCAGCTTCGTTGCCTGGTGAGCTCATCACTGGACCCACTTCAGTTTGCCTACCAACCTGGCATTGGAGCGGATGATGCCGTCACCCACCTCCTACATCGTTCCCTCTCTCACCTGGGACTGCTGGGAGCACTGTGAGAATCATGTTCTTTGATTTCTCCAGTGCCTTCAACACCATTCTTCCCACGGTCCTGAAGGACAAGCTTGAGAACTCAGGAGTGGACCATCACCTCACTACATGGATTCTGGACTACCTCACCAACCAACCACAGTATGTGAGAACTCAGGGCTGTGTGTCGGACAGGGTCGTCTGCAGTACGGGGGCCGCACAGGGAACAGTTCTGGCTCCGTTCCTCTTCACCATCTACATTGCAGACTTCTCCCACAACTCCAAGCAGTGCTTCCTTCAGAAGTTCTCTGATGACTCTGCAATAATCATCCTCATCACTGATGGGGACGACAGCTAACTGACCCATGACTTTGTGGACTGGTGCCAGCAGAACTACTTCCAGATCAACACTAGTAAAACCAAGGAGCTGGTGGTAGACTTCTGCAGGCACAAACATCCTCCACTGCAGCCACTAAATATTCAAAGCATGGACACTGAGGCTGTGGATAGCTACAGGTACATTGGTCTTCATCTGAACAATAAGCTGGACTTATATATATATATATATTACACACACACACACACACACACACACACACACACACACACACACACACACACACACACGTGTTACAGATTATTATTAATATAAAGTTGAGACTTCAGAAAGTCTTCTTATATTTCAGTTGTATCGCTATAAGTGTTGTGGTCATTTCTGCTGATAAGTTCCACTTTGTTCTCAATGTTTGCTGAAGTGATGACGTCACATGCCTTTACGACGGTCCTGCCGTATCACAAGTCCGAGGAGCACTGGGCATGTTTTTCTCCATGAGTGCGGGGGAGTAGTGATCTCCAGCTGTGTGCGTTCCTGCGCAAATGTGAGTCAAAAACCCCCTAGTTCTAAGAATCAGTTTCAAAACTTATAGCATGGGTTGTAGTTTGGCGTTGGTTACATCCTTAAGGGGGTTTATGCTAGGAGATTGATTGAGATCAGTAGAGGCATGTGACTTACCACCGTAGCTTTTGTTGTAGGGGGGTGGCTGTAGCTCAGGTGGCAGAGCAGGTCAGCCACTAATTTGAAGGTCGGTGGTTCGATCCCAGGCTGCCTCCTGGCTGCATGCCAAATATCCTT